AAGGCCAATGGGATACTGGCATGTATCAAGAATAGTGTGACCAGCAGGAACAGGGAAGTGATCCTGCTCCTGTACTCGGCACTGGTGAGGCCGCACCTGGAATATTGTGTCCAGTTTTGGGCCCCTCGCTTTAAGAGAGATATTGAGCTCCTGGAGTGAGTCCAAAGAAGGGCGACTAAACTGGTCAAGGGGCTGGAAAATAAAACTTATGAGGAGCGGCTGAGGGAGTTGGGGCTGTTTAGCCTGGAGAAGAGGAGGCTGAGGGGAGACCTGATTACAGCCTACAAATACTTGAGAAGGGATGGTGGGGAGGTGGGGGAAGGGCTCTTCACATTAGTGTTGGGTGATAGAACAAGAGGAAATGGGTATAAGCTTAGTCAGGGGAGATTCAGGTTGGATGTTAGAAAGTATTTCTTCTCTGAAAGGGTTGTCAGCCACTGGAATAGGCTGCCCAGGGAGGTGGTTGAGTCCCCATCCCTGGATGTGTTTAAGAATAGGGTGGATGATCTACTTGAGGATATGGTTTAATGGGGATTAGGGACGGTTGGACTGGATGATCTCTAAGGTCTTTTCCAACCTAGAAATCTATGAAATCTATGAAATCTATGAAGTAGAAATAAACATCTATTCTAGGAAATGGAGGGAACAGGGGGCCACAACGTTTCAGACCTATCTTGTAGAAGAATAACAGGACAAGCCGGATTTAGCCCCATTTACCACCACTCTTTGGGCTCGGCCATCCAGCCAGTTTTTAACCCAAAGGAGGGTGTGCCTATCCAGGCCAGCAGTTATCAGTTTCTCAACCAGAACATTATGAGAAACTGTATCAAAGGCTTTACTGAGGTCCAGGAAAACTACATCCACAGCCCTTCCCTCATCAACCAGGCGGGTCACCCTGTCATAGAAGGTGATCAGGTTTGATTGGCAAGACCTGCCTTTCATAAACCTGTGTTGACTGGGCCTGATCACCCGGTTAACCCATATGTGGTCATTAATAGCACTCAAGATAACCTGTTCCATGACTTTGCCCGTCACCGAGGTCAGACTGACAGGCCTGTAGTTCCCCGGATCCTCCTTCCACCCTTTTTTGTAAATGGGGGTAACATCCGCCAGCCTCCAGTCCAGCGGAACTTCCCCAGTGAGCCAAGACTGCCCAAAGATAATGGACGGGTTTGGCAATGACATCCGCCAGCTCTCTCAGGGCTCTCGGGTGGATACCATCAGGCCCCGTAGACTTGTGGGCATCCAGTTGGCGAAGCAGATCCTTGACCCATTCCTCTTGGATCACAGGAGCTTCCATTTGCTCTCCCTCCCTGCTCTCAGACACCATACTTCCTATATGTCAGCAAAGCAGCTGAAGAGAAAAGCAGATAAGAGGGATAGATATGAAGAGGAAGAACGGGGTGAGGAAGGCAAGGTGTCTCACATGTTTCTTGCAGAATGGAGCTGAGGTGAGGCTACGGTATCCACATTTAGACTTCAGAACTAACTAACTAACTTTTGAATTCTGCCCGTCATTTTTTCTTACTCTGAAGAGGAACTTTTAGAAATGGCATTTTTATGAGCTTGGTTTCCCCCCTTGATCCTGGGTAGCTGAGGCTTTTCCTTACATAGGTAAAGAAAAAACATTAGAAAAAATTAGAAGAACCTGGTGACAGGAAGCTAGGATTGTGTATGAGTTTTGTTAGTACGACTGATAATGGATCACAGCTTGACTGAAACTCATCTCACCTATTACTGATGATTTCCTCTTAACAGTAAGCTTTTATATCATCTCCCTGTCACAGCAAAGTCCACCTAAATAGCTGGGTATCCATTGCGCAGTAGCTTTATTTCAGTCTGGAGCTACTGACTACTGCTGTTTCAGGTCTGGAGCTATTTGCGTCAGAGCAGTGTTGCATTTGGGCAGATAGAAATGAGAAGGTGTTGTGAGTAATGAGGCCATCTTGGGATATGAATGAAACTTTTCAGAAAGGCTTGCTTTAAAATGTGTACGGGAGGATTGCAGACAGACTGGTAAACTCAGTTTTTGCAAGTGTACTTGTACTTCATGTTAAGCAATAAGACTTCTTTTTATACTTCAGAAAATCTCTGTTGCTTTCTTCCTTGGCTGTCTGAACCTAGTCAGATAATTTTTCAGCTTCCAAAAATTGCCAGTAGATTTCCTGTTGATCACAAAATTTTCTGTCATCTCTGCCGCAAGAGGCTTGATAGACTGATACCTCCATCACGTGGAGAAAATGCAAACTGCATGATAGAATCATAGAATCATAGAATCGTTAGGGCTGGAAGGGACCTTCAAAGGCCATCTAGTCCAACCCCCCTGCAAGGAACAGGGATATCTCCAACTAGATCAGGTTGCTCAGGGCCTCATCCAACCGGGCCTTGAACGTCTCCAGGGATGGAGCATCCACCACCTCTCTGGGCAACCTGTTCCAGTGTTCTGCAACTCTCATGGTAAAAAATTTTTTCCTAATATCCAACCTGAATCTACCTCCCTCTATTTTAAAACCATTACCCCTTGTCCTATCACAAGTGGCCCTCCTGAACAGCCTCTCCCCATCTTTCTTGTAGGCCCCCTTGAGGTACTGGAAGACCGCTATAAGGTCACCCCGGAGCCTCCTCTTCTCCAGGCTGAACAGCCCCAACTCTTTCAGCCTGTCCTCATAGGAAAGGTGCTCCAGCCCTCCTACCATCTTCGTGGCCCTCCTCTGGACCCTCAAAATGATATTTGCACACAGTTTAGAAACTTTAGATTCATTACATCAAGTACAACTCAAACACTTTATATGTACTTTATGAAAATGTGATTGTTCTTCAAAGTTCATACAGAAAAAGAAGTTAAACTCCAAAGGTAATATTAGAAGGTTGTTATATGTGAATGAACACATGATCATGGTTTTAGAAGATGGCTTCAACCAATCTGGAGCTTTCTGAAATTTTTGGCAGCTTATTCAAAATTTGTTTATGATGATTTGTTATTTAAATATTGAGATTCATTATGATAATTTTTGAGCTTCTTAGGTCTTTTGATAGTTTCTTGTGGTTTTCTGTTTTGTTTTTTTTTTTCCTCTCTCTACAAGTTTATTAAGGAAGTAATTCATTTCCCCGGTCTCAAATTGAAAGCAAATTCCCTTTTCATTTGACTGCTGTACGGTTTGGAAATACATGCTTCGTATTTTAAACATCCTTGTTGCTTACCTGAGTTTGAATTTTAAGCAGTGAATTTTGAACAGCACCTTGAGCTCTGCTGGGGCATTGTCAGTAGAACTCAGGTATCATTGTTTGTGATTGTCTCTTGTGAGTGCGGTGTGATGCATGAGAAGGAAATTTCTTCAGCATGTTTTCCAAAGTAGTTAAAACTATTACTGTGATTTCCTTTTTTTTTTTTTCCTGCTTACTTTGATCAGTGGAGTACTTAAATATTAATAGAGCTTGACTAGATGTTAGTGGGTAATAACTGTTCAAATAAACATTTTGAGACATGCACCTTTACTGCTGTACTTTTTTTCCTGAATGTTACTCAGGCTGGAGAGGGAGTGAGCTTCAGGCAGCAAAGCTGATGCTTTGGGTGCACTAAAGTTGATACTCCCTGGAATCATTACACTTAGTTTGCTGACATAATGCACTTCCGCACAACATTTATGCATTTGTAGCTATAATGGGCCTGGTGTCTCTGGTACTTGTGCCATACAGTGAGCACGTATTCGTGCAGTAAGTCTGGTGGAAGGGAAGAGGGCTTTGCTTCATCTGCATGAAGGGCTGGCTGTGTGGCAGGGAGGTGCTGGGCAACATCGCACTCTGCTGTCACTCACGGGGAGGTGTGTACAGCAGTAAGGCTGAGAGCTACTTCTGAAGAATAAAAAATTATTCTTGCGTTTTTAAGATGTTACAGCAAAAGAAATGTTATAGTGTTAAAATAGTAAAGCCAAATAGAAGTAATAGGGAAGACAGCTGCTGTACGACATGGTCTTTTTTGGTTTAATCCCCTTAGGTATGTCTTCAAGTTGGGATGTATTTTGATTTCCGAGTACTATCTTGATATAAAGTTTTACTTTACATTTGCTGATATATTAAAGATTTACTTATTCAGAATTTTTACAATGCCTACTTATAAGCTGATAATTTGAAGTATATTTGTGAATCTGTACAAGTGCTGGGTTTATGTGTGGAGTTTTGGTAACAGGGGAGGGGCAGCAGAGGCAGCCCTTGTAAGGAGCTTCAAGAAGCTTTTCCAGCTTCGAAACTGCTCGGACCAGTCTCTGTCCAGGGCCGAGCCAATTGGCGCCTCTGCCAATATCATGTTTAGGAAAGGGGCAGACGAACCTGAACCAGGCTGGATGTGCAGTGAAGAGAGAGGGGAGGTGGGGGGCTGACCTCCCTCACCCCTGGCCTTCACAGATGGCCGCAGCGGCGCGGCTGGGAGAGCTCCAAAGTGCCCCATTCCTGGGGCATATGCTGGGCGGGGTTCGTCCTGCTGGAACTGCTGATGTTCGTCAGCTGCAGCAGAGAGAAGACTGAGACCTGAGAGAAACGGTGGTGCAAACACCAAGGACAGTGAAGATGGAGCTGGAGGAGGTGTGCCGGAGCTGAGATTCCCCTGCATCCCGTGGTGAGATGGCAGCGGCCCCCCTGCAGCGCACGGAGATTAACGGTGAAGCAGAGATCCACCCACAGCCTGTGGAGGACCCCACGCTGGAGGAGAGATGGCTGTGTCCAAAGGAGTTTGTAGGGGACTGTCTCCCATAGGAAGGACCCCCCACGCTGCTGGAGACTGGCAGTGGAGCAGAGATGCATCTGCTGTGCATGGGAAGGGACCCCGTGCCAGAGTGGGTGGTTGCACCCTAAGAAGCTGTGACTCCGTGGGGAAAGCCCACGCTGGTGCAATCTGGTGGGTAAGGATTGCATCCTGTGGGAAGGACTCATGTTGGAGAAGTTCTTGGAGTACTGTCTTTGTTGAGGAAGGGCCCCATGCTGGAGCAGCAGAAGAGTGTGAGGAGTCTTCTCTCTTAACGGAGGAACGGCAGAAACGATGTGTGACAAACTCACCTGAAACCTCCGTTCCTTGTCCCTCTGCACTACTGGGGGAGGAGGTGGAGCCAGGAAGAAGGGAAGGATGGGGAAAGGTGGTTTTTTTTTTTAAGATCTGGCTTTGTGTCTTGTTATCCTCTCTGAAGTCACTGATAGCTAATTAAATTGATTTGTCCCGAAGCTGAGTCTGTTTTGCCCAGGGACGTGGTTGGTGGGTGATCCTTCCCTGTTGGTTGATGGGTAATCCCTCCCTGTTCTTATCTCGACCCTCAAACCTTTGGCTTTGTTTTTTCTCCTCTCCACCCCATGGCGGGTGGGAGTAGAGAGAGGAGGAGTGGGTGAGTGGCTGCATGGTAGCTTAGCTGCCAGCTGGGCGAAACCATGACAGTACACTTTTGACTCTGGCTTTTATTTGTATTTCACAATGAGTTGCATTTGCTGTACTAAGTTACGACGGCAAGGCTAATAAACTGGATACATCTGCCTCCGGTGGAAGCAACTCTTTGCGTTCTGTGGAATGTGCGTGTGTAGTCTCTGACCACTCAAATTAAGACCCTAGACTTCTTTTCTGCCTTCCAAACTCATCTTCTGTCCTTTCTTACCTTTTTTTGTTTTTCCTCTGCTGCCACACGTGTCACTTGCACTTTGTTCTGCCAAAACAAGATAGACACTTGGGTGTTTTACCTGTCACAAGTATGGTCCTCACCCCTGTTTCAGTGTCCTGGAGCAGAAGTTACAGCTTCCCCTTTGTTAGCGTGGGACATCGTGACATAGCTTTGAACATACGCATGCTTGAGGGCTGCTGCATTGTCTGTCATTCAAAGTCCTTTTGAATATGTATATACCATCAGTAATGTGCATGTTACTGTTCTGATAATTCAGTTTTGTTGTTAATCAGATATATCAGGTCTATCGCTTGTGCTCCTTTACAGTCATCACTGCACTTTGAGAAACACTCTGAGAATTTTTCGTGGACAGAGAATCGTTACGAAGCAAATCGCAGAAGGCACAACTTTTCAGATGAGTTTGATCCTAACATTGGACGGCCGAACGGAGGTATGACATTTCAAATACCTTTACATCATTACTTTGTAGCACTCCAGGTAAAAAAAAGTCTGATAACAATAGCTCTTCTGTGCTAAATTCTTATTCTGTAGTAAAACAGAGATAATGGAAAGACATCTTCTGGGAGAGGATGTGAAGACTAAGGGTTGGTTGAAGGAGCGTAATTCCAGCTGTATTTATTTCTTAAGAAGAAGAGTGTTGAGTTAATACTCTAGCCAACAATATGTAAATGAGCAGCCAGAAAAGGAGCTTGACTTGTCTTAATGTTGGATTGCTGTTCTCTTTCTCTGGCTCTTGTTTTGTGAGATTCTTTGCTGCTGATGATATGAATGAAAACTTAAGTTTACTGTGTTACTGTATCCTGGAGTGTAGAGCTGCTGACTTAACTTCGCAATTTTAGAGAAGTAGAATATTCTTTTAAAATTGTTTGTAATTACATTTCTTTAAAATTTAAAAATCTAAGGGCGTTTTGGGAGAAAAGAGAAGAATGGTTGGCGTTCACAAGGCAGAAATGGTACAGAAAACGTAAACCATCGTGGAGGATACCATGGCGGAGGTTCCCGTGCTCGTACCAGCACCTTCCACTGTGGAAAAGGCCAAGGACTGCATGAAAACAATGTGCCTGATAATGAAACTGGGAAAAATGAAGACAATGAAGTACCCAAACAGTTTGAGGCTGAGGATTTTGTAAGTTAATTGTAATTATAATAAACAAGGTTTCATTGTTTCAGCAAGTGCCATTTTGTCCATTACAAGCTACTTCGTGAGGTTTCATCACTTTCAGATCATCATATAAGGCATCACCCTTCCCATAGGTAAGAGGGTGTTAGTCACTTGTTCGCTAACTTTTCTGCTTTTATATCTCCAGTTTTTATCATTATACGTGTATTATTGTCACTTAAGTGTCGAAGTGAAACTACAGTTGAGTTCCAGTTTACTGTGGCGTGTATATATATTAAATTCTGCACAGTTACCTTACTGGAAATCTGAAGTACTAACAAAATAAAATCTTTATGCCCGTGACCCTTTTGAGATCCCATACTTCCACCTCGAATTGTAGAGTGTAAGAGGAAGGGTGATCTTCTACCTTGAAGAACCATGCATGACTGTTGCTTACTTTCTCTAGACAGTTCATGTAATGGTATTGACTGCTGCCTGAGATGATTTGTTGAAGAGAAACAAGTGAGCATTGACCTATTTGGGTCACAGGGGGAGGTGTCTGGTTTGTCTCCATTAAAAATCTTTGACGGCAGAGGTGATACATCCAATATTATTGTGATTCTGTATTTCATTAGTCCTAGAATTCAAGACTTATTTTATTAATAATGATAAAACTTTATTTCAGCCGTCTTTGAACCCTGAATATGAGAGGGAACCAAACCAGAATAAATCTTTAGCTGGAGGCGTATGGGGTGAGTATTTTTGATGTTTTCAAATGTAAAAATGTAGCAGAGATTTGAAGTTTCCTACTGGAAACATAGGAATTTTTGCAGAATTATAAAGGTATAGATTTAAATTATAAATGTGTAGATTGAAATTGAGGAAACTTCAATATTATTACAATGTAAGTACATTTTTTGTTAGAGAGGTAACACTTCTATTTGAATATCGATCTGTTGGTCTGTAGATGCAGCCACAACTAGGATTCTTTCCCAGAACAAGTATACATCTTTGTTGTAATGATGTCAAGAATTTATCTTCACCTTTATTTTCAAGAGGAAATGCGATGAAGGTGGGTCACTTAAACTAGTGATGTGATTGCTAGCTGAAGTGATCATATTGCAGCCTTCCGTTACTTAAAGGAGGCCTACAGGAAAGCTGGAGAGGGACTTTTTATAAGGGCATGTAGTGATAGGACAAGGGAAAATGGCTTTAAACTGAAAGAGGGCAGGTTTCGATTAGATATAAGGAAGAAATTTTTTACAATGAGGGTGGTGAGGCACTAGAGCAGGTTGCCCAGAGAAGTTGTAGATGCCCCATTCCTGGAAGTGTTCAAGGCCAGGTTGGATGAAGCTTTGGGCAACCTGGTGTAGTGGAGGGTTTCCCTGCCCATGGCAGGGGGGATTGAAACTAGATGATCTTTGAGGTCCCTTCCAACCCTAACCATTCTATGATTCCATGATAAAAGAGTGCTTCTGACTGATGAGAGCTGTTGGAAGAGTTTGGAGGGACACCTAGGAGGGCTGGGAAGAGCAGGTTAGCTTGCAGAGGTTTAAGGTTTCTTCGTGGAAGGAAATGTCTTAAGCTATTGGTTGTGTTTACAAATTACTTGTAGCAAAGCTAATCCTGAGAATTTGCCTTGAGCTGGGTCATAGTCTGGGATTGTTTTCTCATCTCTGCCTGGTAAAATTTGGCTATCACTTTGCAGTTCTGTGGGCTATATGTCATCAATTGTTCATCCTTAAGAAGCTGGAAGCTTTAGACTGCACAGATTTTAAAGTAATAAACTTACTCAAAATGAGAACCTTTCTCTTTCCAAAGAAATAACTTAAATTAAACATAAAAGCTACTACTTAAACTGTTGCTAATACTGAGATCTGAAACTTACTGCTCGTTTTAAATGGTACTTTAATTTGCTAGTTCTTTTTTTCATACTTCTCCAGTATGTTTGGCACTCTTATACAGACCTGCCCCTCAATATAAATGTCTGATTGCTAAGAACTTTTGCAGGAACTTAGAGAGTTGGACTGCTTTCCAGTTTTGTGTGTTTAGCAGCTTTCATGTGAACATCAGGAAATACCGTTACGTTTCAGCAAAAGAGCAACAATAACTAAATTGTTTCCTAGCCAAGATGGGAAAAATTATATAGCAAATTAAGTGTTTTACAACCTTTACAGCACTCTGACTGTGGCTCCTGCATGATGTGGCTCAGCTTGATCTGGAGGAAGACACGCTTTCCAGGCTTTTTGATACGACTCTTCACAAGCAAGGCAAAGAGCAGTCTGTTAGCCACATAAAATCATAAAATTTGGTTTGGGTTGGAAGGGACCTTTCAAGATCATCTAGTCCCACCCGTAAGCTGCAGTACAGTGGCTTGTTACAGCTTACTTTGTTACAACTCTGCTATTGCAAACCTTGTGTTTTGATTGAATAGTGAAGTTGACGCTATTCTTAGTCCCTTTTAAAGGAAACAATATTCAGGACAGGAGGAATATTACCATCTGCTTCTAATGCCTGTTAAAAGTATATGCTTCTGATAGATTCCATTTTATCTTGTGTATATGCAGTGGGAACATGCAAATATAATGCAAAGTCTTCATAAAGTTTAGTGAGAGCTAAGTATACAGTTATCACAAATGTTTTGTAACATATATCTACTAAACAAAGCTAAAGTCACTTATACTTTAAAGAGAGGTGTTTTTAAATGTAGGATATTTTGAGTCTGCCTGTGAAGCGGAGATGCTTGCGGAGAGAGGAAACAATCTTGGAAAAGGCTGTTAATGCAACATTGGAACACGTGGAAAACAATAATTAAAGTGATTGTGGTGTTTTTTTTTTCTTTTCGAAAATTTTACAACTGTTTTTAAGAGATGTTCTTTAAAACTGTTAAATGTCGATTTCTTAGTATGACAGCTGTCTGTATGTCTCTTAGTGCTCTCTTGAATGTGGAAACATAAGCTCCGTATGTTCTGTAATGCCCATCTGAGGCATGGAGATATGGAAACTGGTTGTTGCCATGGTCTTGGGTAGTACACGTCTCTTACCTCATGTTTATAGCGCCTCAGTATGGAGCATTTGGCTCTAAACTGAGCTGTTTATACACACACACACACATATATATATATGTATGTATTTTTTTAGTAACCTTAAAGGGAAGTATGAAAACCATAATCTGTTTTGAAGATTCGGCAACAATCAGGAGTTATTAGTATTTGCATTTTAGATTTGCAAACAAGAACTGTATAGCTAGCTTATTTGCAGAATATCTTTATTTTCCAAAAGTAAAATTCCTTCATTGCCAAGTGAAATATTGTACAAATGGTGGTTGTAGAAAATGGAACAGAACCTGTGTTTATCCAGGTTTGTACAGTGTGTTATTTGTGGAACTAATACTTGACTAAGTTCCTGATTTATGCCTGTTTGCTCTGGACCATGTGGGCTATCCAGTACCCTATGAACTAGAAGCTTAAGATTATACACACTTGCGCACACACACACACACACACATATATATATACACACACTTCTTTTCTTTTTTTTTTTTTTTTCCCTCCCCAGGATATCCTTTGAATCCTAAATCTAGATCTCCAAGAATGCTGGTCATTAAAAAGGGCAGTACAAAAGAACTGCGAATATCTGGATTCCCAGTAGTAGGAAGTCTTCATTCACAACCAGTAAGGAATGGAACTGGCACAAGTTTTTATAAAGGGTTAATCCCTAAACCTGTGTCTCCACCCGCAAAGGTGAGTCTTGGATACCAGTGGCATGAGCAACATGCTGGAAAGAATTATGCGGTAATTTTGACAGGGCTTATTTCAACCCCAAAAGTACTGTTCCTGGAGTATTATGCTTTCAACTCTTGCTAAGTGCAGCACACTCCAAAAGTGAATGGAAACACCTTTTTCTCATTTTTATTTTGCAACTAGACTGTAATTGGATCTTTCTTTGTTTCTCTTTTATCTTTTTTGAGAAGTGCAAGAGCTGTCCAAGTGAGAGCAAAAAGGATGTTTTTAACTTATGGAATAGCAATGCCTTTTGTGTATATGATTTTGACAGAAAAGTAGGTACCTAATGGAGAGATAGTCGGTGTAAAATTAACTTCAGAATTTATCCCAAGTATTGATAGAGATGATAAACCTATTAGTGTCCTGTCATGTTAGGGATGCAATTTTCCATGTTCTTCTCTTGATTTTTGTTTCAGGAATTTTTCTGCGCTCCTGAGACCATATGATGGAGTGATTCTTAACTCTCTAACATTCTCCATTAAAAGCATTACTTTCAACTGTTGAAGACTCATATTATGATTCTTAATACCTCAAATATGAAGATCTTAATTGTTTTGAAATTTTAGTCTTTAAATAAAAAGTGCAAACAGTATTTATGAGTGAATGCATTGCTCATAAACAATCCGTTTTCCGCAAGAAAACAGGTGTTTGCACTAAACTATGGTTGTAGTTATTATTTGCTTTTGCTCAATCATTTTCCTAAAGATTTCTGAAAATAATCCTGTTGTAGTTAATGACTCTTTGAATTTCTGTTTAAATTTTTGTTTAGCCTACGCAGTGGAAAAGCCAAGCAAAAGAAAATAAACTTGGGAATCCATTTGCTCACGAATCTGCGTATGGTGTTGACAATTTGAGTCCTTTCAAATCAACTGCCAAGGCGTTTACTGTATCACAAAGTTCAGTGAAAAAGGTAAAGCACTGTCTGTAGTTTTTATCAAATCTGTAAAACATTTAATATGGGTAGGTAAGGGGATCAGTAAGTTTTATGCAGAATTGTATGAAGTAAGTTTTTTTCAATGTTAATGTGTGAGAAATATGGAAGGCTCATCACTGGCCTTTAAGTACGGAACAAATTACTTTGTAGGTTTGATTTGGGGTAAAAATGATGCATTAGGAAATACAGCCTGATAGCTTTAAACTTCAAAACTGCTAATGATATGATAACACTTCAGAAGGTCCAGTGTTCGTTAGTGGTACTCCATAAACCTACGCATCTGGGTTTACATGTAAGATCTATATATATACTGAAATACAAATGTGTTCCATCTGCTTTTGACTATAGATATATGTGAAAACTGAAACTACAGGTGCTAGGGAGTCTTTTTGTCTTTCATTCAAAGTATTCTAAATGAATAAACTAATATTCTTTCTTTTTCTGACTCCCTACATTAGTGTAATCGGTCAAATTCTTCATCTCCTGTTGACAAAGTTGGTCAGCCTCGTTTAACAAAATTGACAAGAATGCGAACTGATAAGAAGAGTGAATTTTTGAAAGCGTTGAAAGGAGATAGAGCGGAAGAGGAACATGAAGAGAAGAATCATGCTGGGCAAGAGAAGGTAGTTTTGTTCGTACCTGTTGTAGATCCAGCAGCAGTAGTTTTCAGACAGACCATAAACTGCTTTTTATTTGGCTGTAAACAGCTGTTAAGTCATGGTCTTGGATCTCTAAATGAAGGAGGAATGACATTTTGATGAATTTAAAAAAGTTGTTCCAAGAACCACTCTTCCTCCAGTGCTTCTTAGTAGTTTCTTTTTTTATTTCTGCAGTATCTGTTCATACATGTTAATGACTGGGGTACATTTGTGTTTTTAGCAAAAATAAAAAGAATAAATTAAGCTTAGTACACTAACCTGATCTTTGTGGAGGACAGTGTTTCACACCTTAGCCGTTTGTTATCCTACAAAACAATTAATGGAGAAACTTGGTTCTGCTTCTCAAACCATTTCTTTCCTAATCAGAATGTTTAGATTGCCACAAATTCTCTATTCTTGATCTAGTCATAGGAGCAGTAGTTCAATTTATGCATATATGAAGAACCAGGTTTTAGTTCCTAATTGAGAACTTGGAAGTCAATACTGGGTGTATGTAGTATGGGTTGGGTTTCTTTCAGTCTGGATCAGTGCTTGGCTGGCAACAGAGAATATTTGTGTCAGTGCTACCAGCCACCAACAAGCTGTAAGCATGATTATCTTCACTTAGACTATGTACGATAAGTATTGTTCAGGATGAGGTGATTACAAGCCTGTTCACTGTAAACGAGTGGTTTAAAGTGTTTTAAGAAAACAAAAAACCACCATAAATTACAGATCAGCCAGGTAAATGAGTGGTTTTGAGGAAGGTTTATTTAGATTCAGAAACATCAAAAAAGAAAGGGCCAGTGTGCATTGCTCACAAAACTAAGACTGACTTTTCTGACCCTGTTCTTACTTCAGGCAAGATAAGATTTGCTATAATGGAACTGTACAATTTAGCTGTACGTGTGAGTTAAGAAAGGTCTGCATCTTTCCATTGGGCATTTGGTGGCTGAGCACCCCAAGATCATAGAATAGAATCATAGAATGGCTTGGGTTGGAAGGGACCTCAAAGATCATCTAGTTCTAACCCCCCTGCAATGGGCAGGGACACCTTCCACTACCCCAGGTTGCTCAAAGCCTCATCCAGCCTGGCCTTGGAACACTTCCAGGGATGGATGTATGTGTTTAAGAAGTACACAAGGATTTTGATTTAAGATTAAAAAGATACTGGGAAACACTATATTGAGCTTCAGAATTCTGAAAATAGTATGTGAACATGGTGAGGGTTTCTGTTCCTGAAATCGTCTTGAGTTCATAATATTGTGATGATACGTATGTCAAATGCATTTGGTTGTCCCGTTGTACACAACTGATTTTTCAGAAGCAAACGTATTCAAAAAAACCCAAAAGGTTTTTAATAGTGCAAGTTGTTACGCCCTTGGACAGGTGTATGTAACGTGTAGCCTGGAATAGTTGTTGCTAAGCGTGTGCTTCCTTTCCCCTGCCACTGCTGTTTCAGTAACAGGTGTGAAAAGATGTGTAACTAATAACTGTCATACTTCCAACATTCGTTTTAATGATCATCAGTAGAAGATATGGTGTACAACTGAGTGGGTGGGGAGATAACTGCAACAATTTTCCGTAACATGATGCTGTTGATGGAATTTTAAGGCCTGCAGTAACAGATTTCACCTCTGAAATAACAAGGCGAATCACAATCACCAGCCGAATTGTGCTTGGAAGAAGCTATTTTGCCCTATATATATTAAAATTGTTTAATATTTTAATGAATTTTGTTAGATAATCTGAGATGCATTCTTCAGGTGTATGATTTAACAGCTGAATGTATGTTTATTGGGATACTTGCTCTTAAGAAATTCTTGCTGAGCATTCTAAAATTTCTGGTGGCAGACAACACTGTGAGTGGGAGGGAAGTGATGATGGTGGTCATGATCTTGGACTCTGAAGAATGGTTTCTTGCAAGTGCAGAACTGACTGAGCGATTGCCTCCTGCTGTGGATAATGCTGTTAGATGCTCAGTTGTAGGGATTTTGTTGTCGAAAGGATGTTCACTAGGTAATGACCGTACTCTCTGTTTACAATTGGAAAGGCTTCTGAGGCTGTTTGACTCATTAGTGAATAAGAATTAGAGGTTGCTGAATGACTAGAATAAAAAGAGACAGGTTTACAGGATTAAAGACCTTTTAATATTGAAGTGAACCTGAACAGTCTGCTTTCTAAATAAACTTTCTTCCTCTTTCCTGTTTCATGGCTAGTAAGTTACAGTGGCTGTTAACAGCAGCCTGAAAAGCTCTGTGGTGAGCGCATACGTAGTTGTCTGAACAGAAGTTGTCTGTTCCTTAAATTCAATTGTCTGAATTTAAAGAGCAGTATCCGGTCTTTCTGAACTTGTGGCAGAGGAGTTTGCTGGTTGAGGTATGGCGACCATGACCTGCCCCTTAAACTAGGTAAACTTGAGAACTCTTGCGCTTTCAAACTTCTCATGATGCACATGGCTCTGATACTTAATTAGAACATTTTAAGTTCAACAGATAACCTTCTTATTTGTGTAAGTATGAAAGGCAGCTTGAGTAGGTTTGAATTTGAAGATGTATTTGGAACTTTGTACAAAAAAGTTTGAGGCAGAGCATGGAAGTTGCTTTCTGCATTACTTGGTCAGTGGCATAACCTAAGATTTCTGTAGTGTCCAGATATTGCAAACTCCAGAAGAATGAACAGAATTACCCCAGCAGTAAAATAACGTGTCTCCGTTTAAACTTATTTAAATTAAACCGAATCACTGAATTCCAGAACTTGCAGACATTTACTTGTGAGTGGAATTTACTTTTAGACTTTACAATATGTAATTATTTTTAACAGGATGATGATTCCTTTAACTTGCATAACAGCAACAGTCCTCATCACGAGAGAGATATAAACCGAAACTTTGAAAGTGAAATTTCGCAGGAGAATGGCAGTGCTTCAGTTACATCTCAACAGAAAATTCGATCTTCAGCTTTCCCTCAGGCAGATGTTCTTTCAAGCTCGCTTGAGGCAGAGCATAGGTATGTACTTTATATAATATATTGTACCTTCATGGTAAGTGAGCATGTCATAAATTCTTACTGATTCAGAAGTCAGAATCTGAAAACTAAGAACACATAAAATGTTTAATTAGTACTGTCAAAGTTTAACTTTTAGACATGTACTAATTTAACATGGAATACTTTGCTTCTACTAAACTTGTGTACTGACTTAAACTTACTTTACTAAAAATTTAATGTATTTCCTTATAAAGAAGTAAAGCAAACTGCATAGTGACTCCATCCCTCTGATCTTGGTCTGCCTGTCTGGGAGGAACAAAGCATGTGATTGCTATTTGTGTTAATAATACTTTAAATGCTGCATCTTTTGTAAAACTCCAGTAAGTTTTTCCTCATTGTTAAAGTAACAAATTATTTCTGTAGCTGACTAGTTGACACTGTCAGTGATATCACAAGACAGTGCACTGGAAACGGAGAAGGTAACTTCAAAAAAGAATCAAAACAGTTCTAGCAGCTCATAAAAAAAACTGCAGTAGCAAGTGACAGAGATGAGAACGATGCAGTTGGGAAATCACAAGTCAGTCTGGAGATGAGCTTGTCAGATTCTTTAGTTTGTGGCAGCTAAAGAATTGCAGTGTTAAATCAGCTAGGTGTTGTGGTTTTTTTTTTGTTGTGGGTTTGTTTTTTTTTGTTAGTGTTCATACATATACATTGAACTAGAGAACTTTCCCTTTTGTAGTACATACAGAGGAAACTTTCATGACCTCTTACCCCTCATGAGTATGAAAAGTGAAATGCACCGTGCTCTGTTCCTTTTTTCCACCATTGGCTATGGAGACAGAAATCTTTGGCCACTAGAAGCTGCTGCTGCTGATTTTTTTGACTAGAAGATAAGGAGTCAAATCTAATTGTCATTTTTCAGTTCAAATGACTTTGGCCTTCATAGAGTTTCTGGGTCTTTCCTTTTTGGTATCCCAGAGATGCTGTGTCTCCATACTGTCCCAGCCCTTTGTCTGTGACCTCTGAAGGCATGTAGGCAGATGTTATGGTAAGCTTTTTTGTGGTAAATTGGACTTGAAGTGGTTAGCTTAACTCACAGGATACTTGTGCATACCTAGTAATGGTATTGGCACATCTAGTACAACGTATATCTTGGGCTTCCCTTCTGCTGGGGAAGTTTTCAACGTGCAGCCATCCTGTTGGTGTCAAGTTTGCTAATCTGAAATTTTATTTTTTTTAACGTAGTTCACACTTCTAACCGTTCTAGAAGCCTAATGTTGCTTTAAAGGGACAGTGGTCCTGCTAACTTCAGACAGTGCTGCTTAAAAGTTAATTAGCCATCGCTCTAAACTTTATTTACATTAATGGGAGCTCTGTAACTATTCACTTTATTGGACATAATACAGTTAACATCTTGGCTTGCTTGCAGTAAAGCTTTCTAACTCAAATTAGTGTTGCCAAAAAGATAACTGTCATTGAACTGCATTTGGTGTTGCGAGTCTTTCTGTATGTCTATACAAATGTACATATTCTCCTAAAAGAGAGTTTTGGATGACTTCCATATGCCTATATGACTTCTGCTGAGGGTTTAATTGTTCCTGGCTGTCACATTGTCCAATTTGGTCTGACTACTCCAGCGGATGTAATTTCCATTTCTGAAATTGTCCTGCTAACTTTTTAAAACAGAGTAGTGCTGTTCTCCCCTTCTCCTACAATTACAGACTTTTATTGTGGTTTTTACAACAGGCATTGGTGTCATTGGTCACCTGCAGGTTTGCCTAATGCAAATCCATTGTATTGGGACCTAGAGTTCTTTGTGGGGAGGGTTGTACTGAAGGGCATTTTTTGCTGACATCTGACTAAATGAGATACCTGGCACATGTCATCAGTTGTGAGTTTGTCTTGCTTCTTTGTTTTAATGTAATCGCAATTCTTTAGCTCTAAGTGTCAGTTTCTTGTGTCAATTCTGGCGTATACTTTAGAAAGCTCTTTTATTTTTTGTGAAATACCTTTAACCTCCTTGAACATTGAAGGTCAACATGTGCATGGTTTGCCTGAGGAAGATGCTAATCTTTTTGGCAAAAACTTGGCAGCAATAGAACTTACTGTCATTGTTACATGTCACAGTGTCTTCACTCTCAGATAACCCCTGCTTTCACAGTGTCTTCATGTGCAGCTTTTTTCCTGCCCAGATACTGCTGTCCGACTTTTGGTACTAGCTAAAACATGTTGATTATTATGTCTTTGGATATCTTAAGGTTAGTCATGAGAGGAATCTGTCTCTTCTTTCTTTTTCGTCCCCTCATCCCAAAACTCACTCCTAGTTGTAGTCTGTCTATGCTGAAATACCAGCACCTGCTGTTGAGTGAGATTCAATCACAAAGAAGTCTGTCCTGCCTCTGACAGTAGTGTGTGGTAGAAAAAAGAAACTATGTGAGGCCATTGCATCCTGAATTGCTTCCTGTGGAGGGACACCACCAGTAGTCTTCATGGCTGCTCTGTTATCCAGCAAAACCTGCAGATTTCCTCAGTGTGAGTCTTTTGTGTCTTCATGCGGCTTTCAAGGAGGTACGCTGCTGTTCCATCCCACAAAGGAAATACATTCTTACTTTTCCACACGGCACAGATTTTTTGCCTTAAAATGAAGGTACAGTTTTTACCACTTTACCACGTTTAGTGGTAAAACAGGGTCATCTGTGAAACACCCAAGAACTTCTTAAGTTCTATGCTTTATGTATCTTTTGTAAGGCTTTTAACCTGCTTTTACGTAAGAGTTTGTTTAAAAAAAATTACGGACTGATTAATCTGTTTGTTACAGATCTTCACACGTGTACGTAGGCAGAGCTTGAAATGTCTGAGTGCGTGAATCAAATTCCTTAATGTTGTCTTTTTTAAATTAAAGGCTGTTAAAGGAGATGGGCTGGCAGGAAGACAGTGAAAATGATGAAACATATGCTCCACTAACAGAGGATGAGATGAGGGAGTTCCGAGTCATTAGTGAACAGGTAACACTAAGTTAATGTTCCGTTATGAACTTGTAGTTGGCTACCCTAAATGCCTACCTTTGAGGAGGATGTGCAGTAATTCTTATGGTTGGGGCTGTTGCTGTTTCAGTACTGTTTCCATGTTGTGCTTTTAGAAGAACAGTTGCTTTAAAAAGACAGGGAACCAGCGCTTACTATAGGTAAGGCCTGTTCTTAAAATACCAAGGGAAGGGTAAGGGAGTGCTTCTGAGTAGCTTCAGCATTTCTGGTAGCAGAATTGCACATCCTTTCCAGCTCCTCAGCTTAGGCTAAGGAAAGGAAATTTTCTTTCAAGGTTTTTATACAGATTTCTTGGTTCTCCAAAACCTGAATTTTCCTGATTAGAAACTGCAAGACATTTAATTCGCTAGTAACAAAGTCTGAAAAGGCAATCTAGACTTGTTTTGGGGTTTTTTTTTGGGTTTTTTTTGTAATTTTTGTTTTTTTACATTAGGAATGTTCTGTATACATGATGGAGTTGATGAGGAGGAGCTGGAAGGGAGAATCTTATGCAATATTAAGTGAATATTGGGCATTTCCATAAGTCTAGCCACACACGTATTAATGAAAGCATCTGGAATATTAAACTTTTAAGTACTTGGCTTATTGCTCGCATCTGAACTATGTGTGGAAACGCAGTAATTCCTTTCTTGTTGTAGAATCAGTTATTTGCTTTCTCTCCAGTGTCTTTGACTTCCCAGCTGTATCAGACAGATTGGGATACCCATTCGTCCCTACTGCTTCTCTTCTTCTGGGCCCCTTCCTTGTTGCAGATGCTGTCGTCCTTAGCACAGGTGTTTGCAGCACTGTGGAAAAAAGGACTGCATTGCAGGAGAGACCATGTGGGAGGAGGGATCACTGGGGCAAGGTGTCTTGAGGAAGTGGGTGAGAAAAGAGTAAGCTTAGCACAGTTGTAGGCGCCTGATGACTGGCCCAGATGTAAATACTCTCCATGGAATTTTCCTTCGTGTGTATATATGAAAAGGTAGTGCTGTGGATCTAATGTAGCCCGGAAATGAAGATGTCGAGATTGTAGTGTTTAGCTTTTTCTTTCTCTAAATGCATCCTGTTTTCTCATTTCAGTTACGGAAAAATGGTCTTCGGAAAAACGGCATTTTGAAAAATGGCCTCATTTGTGACTTTAAATTTAGCCCCTGGAAAAACAGCACTTTCAAGCCTGCTCTGGAAAATGAGGATTCTGAGACAAGCAGCAGTGATACATCAGATGATGATGATGTGTGAAGACTTCTGTAACATCTGCAGAAGCCTGGTTTGATCTCATGAAAATTTGGGAATATGTTGTCCAAAAAAGATGCCTAAATTATGTAGTAACGTACCCACAAGAGGAAGAATTATGGTATCTTTCTCTGAAGAAAGCGAGGGATGGTGTGTTGGAACATTACTATAATTTCTTTGTAAACGAATGTTGTAAAATGAGGGCTTTGGTTGACCCAGCATTGACCTCCTTCATCATTGAAGCATTTCTGACTAGCAATGTGACAATGTAACAGATCAGACTTTCTCAGTAATAAAAAGGAATTGTGTAATGTCTTGCAGAGCTGCTGTCTTGAAGTGTCCAAGTCTATAAGGGGGAAAAAAGGCAGCTTGACACAGTGTTCTGCTTGCCAAGTCATTTCTTCTTACAATGGAAATCTGTGAGTCCACTTTGTACGCAAAAAGGGCAATGTAGCACGTTGGCTAAAATGAGCAAAGTGCACTGAACTGTTTTCCTTAATTGAGCTGTTGTACTGTTCTACACGTAACTGCTCTTTAGCCATTTATAGTGTTAGTCGTCGTTATTAATGGCAAAAGACCCTGATGTCACAGTTCCAAATTTCTAGAACTAACCTTTAAATTGAAAGCTTTGTGGGGTATTGCAAGACCCAGTGTTCTCACAGTGAACACATTTCTTGTGGGGAAAATAAGCACTTTGATTTTACTGTTCACATGCAGAAAAATAATTACACTGACTGGATTTGTCCACTACATGGAAAATAAACTGATTTAGAGAGTATTGTCTTCAGTGTGTAGTATCAAGGGTATTGTTTTTAAATCTAGTAAGTTTTGTTTGCATTTACATTAAGTGCACTCTGGCAGCAGTGACTGCATTTCAGAATGAGTAAAAATTTTTGTTTTCATCACTAGAGCTTGCTTTTGTAGCCACGGAGGTATATCTATGCAGTAAGCACCTGTTTTGCTTACTTGTGCCAAACTTCTTTGTGATCACACGTTTGAAAAACAATACTGTTATTTATTGTTTTATTTGGTTGATTTTAGTTCTTTAAATATTTTCCAAAGGGCTGTACAACCTATTTGTCATTAATTCATAAGCACAACTGCTTTTGGTGACATCACATACATTTATAACATAGCATATATACGTCTGTATACATATACACACACATTCTTTCTTCAAGATATTTTTTAAATGTACTATTTCTTATAGTAAGTAATTCACAATTTAGGACTATAAAACAAAAATATTTATAAAGCTGAGATTTTGTCCATGTTTAACTTCTTTAGGAAAAAAACATTTTTTATAAGGTTGCATCTATCAATTTTGGGCCAAAGACAGGTTTTTGGTTTTTTTTTACTGGTTTAAATAGAGATTTCTATTCAAGAGGTCAGCTTTTGTCTTGGAACAGGCAAGCAAATGTTGATGTAGTTAATTTTGGCACAATGTATTGAAGTATGTTTTTTTTTGTCTAAATTTAAGAGGATAAAAATGTTTCTTTTTTTAAAGAGAAAGCTGCTGTATCAGTAATGAGGTCTTTCCTACCTGTATGTCTTACACACCTTTCTACTTCCCCTCTCCTGCACTTCTTTTTACTAACTGTGACTGGCACCATGGTGTAGTCTATTCCTTTTTTGGTTTTCACATCTTATCAACAGGATCTTCTGCCTATCCTGATTGCTTAGTGGTATGTCTCTATACTATTTTTATTACTAAGTGAAAACTTTTTACTTTGATATTTCTTAAAGTAGGATTTTTCCCTGTTTATTCAGCTTAGTAACAAGTGTCACCTCTGTAATTAACCCCTTGGGAAGATACTATAATTATAAAAGAATTGTGTTATACTAAGTATGTAGACTTGGGAAATTTACAGGTTTAATTGAGCAAATTCTCTTTAGAGAACGTAGAAATAATAGTTCTACCTGGTACTTCTGTTTCACTAGTTTGTATGCTGAAACTGATAATGGAAGCACTTGTTATAATGAGCTGTGAGCAGAGGGGAGGTAACAGGCATTCAGCAGTGGTTTTGCTTTGTAGAATGAAACACCTTTACAGCCTTTGTGGCTTCTTCTTTTGTGTAAGTATGTGGCTTCTGTCATATCTGCTGTGCTGTCCATCTTGGCTCTACATGCCTGCCATTATTACCTGTACTCCTGCACTGTGTTTGTGTTTCTGAAGCCTGGTGTATTTGATACTGTGATTTGATCACGTGCAGATGCGTAGCCTTAACCAACTGATCCTCGTGGATTCAGTTCTAGTCCTATACATTGGTCTGTTCTGCTAGTTCAGATACTGATGTCAGAGGTCTGCTCAGCTTAAGTGGTTATCCGCCAGCTCTGCTACTTCAATTTGCCCTTCACCGCACTATGGAAGTTGGGAAGCTTTGATATTTCCACTGAGGAATTAGGTTGCCAAGTAGCGCGTTGGTTGTCATTTTTGCCACCTTAAGAAACGCTTGTAGTCACTCACTAAGGAACTCTGTTTTCAGATGAGTTTTTGATTTTTATTTTCCTGGGTGTCGTGGTTTTAGGCCGATCCGGCAACTAAACTCCGCGCAGCCGGTCTCTCACTCCAGTAAAGTGAAGAGGAGAAAAATATAATAAAAGGGCTGAGGGTCGAGACAAGAACAGAGAGGGAGCACCCACCAACCATGGTGCCCGAGCAAAAGCAACTCGGCTTTCTTAAAGCGAAACAATTTATTAACGGTTACTTAAAAGGACAAAGGGAAACAAAACCAGTTACTTGAGAGCGTAAAAAGAAACAAAGCCACATCTTGAAACTGACACCTTCCTTCCCCCCGGCCCTTTCCTTTTCTTTCCTTTTCCTCACGGCTCTACCTCCCTCCTCTCAGCAGCGCAGGGGGCAGGGACTGGGGGAGTGCAGGTCAGTTCATTCCGTGATGTTACTGCTGCTTCTCTCTTAAAGGAGGAGGAGTCCTTACACCCTTTTCCCTTGCTCCAGTGGATCCCCTACTCACGAGGAAAAATCCACAAACTTCTCCAGCGTGAGTCCCACCCACAGGATGCAATCCTTCCCCATCAGATTGCCCCAGTGTGGGCTTTACCACAGTCTCGAATTCTTAGGGAGTTGTTGCCACTTGCTCCGGCGTGGGTCGTCACGCAGACTCCAGATGCCTCTTTGCCTTGTCGTGCACCCCAACATGACCATCCTCAGGCTCAGGCATCTTCTCTCCAGGGGCTGCGAGTGGGTCTCTGCTCCACCGCGGGCGTCCTG